CCCCCCGGGTACGGGGGTCGCCTGGCCCCTCTTCTCCGCGTCCCTCCCCGTCCAATGTTCTCCTCTCGCTGCGGCTGGTCGCCGGGGTCCCTCTCTACAGCCCCTTGTCTGTCATCCGGCCAGAACCGGCCGTGTCCTCTGAGCAGGGTCGGGGTCACCAGGGTCCCAGACCCCCCGGCTCCAACTCGGGGCTGTTCCCTGACCCAACAAACTCCCCCCTTTGTCCCATTAAACCAGTCACGTCGAGGCACTGAGCGCCCCCCTGTGTGCAACATCCCCCCTTTGAACCCCCACAACTCCCCACTTCCTCCTCTTGGGCTGTGGACGGAGGCCGAATCAATGGCTGCTGCCGAGGCGTCCAACCCCAGCAGTCACCGGCCGGGGTCGGGGAAAGAGAAGCGGAAAGGACCCACAATGCACCAGCCAGGTCGCAGGGCGGAGATGGTCACGGAGCAAGGCCAACAGCCGAGATGGCCAAAACCCAAGCGACCCTGAGGACTGTCCCCACCTCACGGGTTGCATGGGCCCGAGAGCGGACACCGGTCTCTGAGACCCCTAAAATCCCGGCTCCTCGTGACCTACCATGTCCCGCCTCATGGGCGTTTGGCTCCTTCATGGTGTATCACGCTAACCATGGGCGCGGCACACCGTGGTGGGGGCAGGCGGGCCGTGAAGGGTGGCCCACCGGCTTCGAAGTCCCAACAAGACTCCCCAACCATCCTGAAGGACGTCTTGGATCTGGTAGGCCGCACGGAGCTGGAGGTTTTCCACTGGCCTTCGGGGGTCACTCATAATGTTTTCAGGGGCAAAGCTTTCTTTTGGGGGGACCAGCCCCCAAAGGAGGTGGGGAGGGGGGAAGTGATGGGGTGCCGGTCTGAAGGCATCTCCGTGGGCTTCGCGGACCAAAGGTGGGGAGCATCTAAGAGTTGGGTTGGCCAACCCTGTGAGTGGAAGAGACAGGCCAGGGTCTCCGGCATGGGAGGTAATTTTGGCCTCATCTCCACAGCCCGGAGAGAAGACTAAAGTGGCAGCGGTTAATTATTTCCACCGTGGTAGGAGAAAGACTCTGTCCAGTCGCCGTGGACCAACCAGCGGGGAAAGCGAGTCACGCGCAAGGAAAGAGACTGGTCTGAGGTCTTGCCTGGTAGCAGAGCCAGACCCCAGCTCTACCCACTAGACAACACTGCCTCCTGAGAAAAATTGGGGGGGCACATGATATGCACTGGGTCCCCCCGCTCCGTTTTGCCCCAGTTTGGGATTTATTGGAGACCCCCTGAATGTGGGGGCCTGGTACAATTTCCCTCCCTTCTCCCTCCCCCATCTCACCAGTCCTACAAGGGGCCCCTTAGTTTACAACCGGCTTCCTCAGGCCCCGCCCGCTCCAACCTCCCGACCTTGCTGGCTGCTCCTGTGTTTACACAACCCGCTTCCCTCCGCCCTACCGGTCTTGTAACATCTGCTGCGTCGCCTCCGCCACTTCCTGGCCTGGGTTCTCAACCCACGGAGGGAGAGCAGCAAAGGAGCGACCAGGCCGAACCAGCTCACGCAGGGACCGCTCAGGGCCGGGCCCGGCCTCCGCCCTTTCCTCCCGCCCTCTCCTTGCTGTCTCCCACAAGGATTTCGACTCGATGGCCGGGATCGTCCCCCGGAAAGACGCCCCCGGCACCGGCATCTTCAGGAAGCGAGACGGGGATGTTGTGGTCCGCTCCGACCTGGGCTGCTACTTGCGGACGGAGCGGCTGGAAACCGGGCGGGGCCTGGAGATCCGGGCCTTGCACCCCTCCTGCCAAGGCGGGGACCACTACCTGGGCTCCGAGAGAGACCCCGACATCTACATCCTCAAGGGCGACTCCTATCGGGTGGTGCAGGACCTGAGCATGGACGAAGGGGCCAAGGTCTACGAGCTGCA